TTTTTTTTTTTTTTTTTTTTTTTTTTTTTTTCCTTTCTTTTTCGAGAAATCGGAGAAGGAAAGGGGAGCCCTGACCCGGCCTGATCGGTTTTACACCGATTTTCGTTCAACCCCAAAACCCAACCCGATTTTTCGCGATCGTCGTGGACGAGAGTCAGTCATCTTCGCACACCGATGATTTCGTTTGTCGCTCCGTCGTTTCTCATCGACGCGCAGTCGATTTCCTTCGCTTGTGGCGGGTATAGAAGTGAATATGACACCGGGTGGAGGCTCCCCCTCGACAAGGCAGCACGATCTGTACCCAGGCTACCTATATGCCTGGTACTGCGTATCGTGTTACGAAGAGATAAAAACACGGGGGTCTCGGCGGCGAAACGAGGGTGAAGGTCGAGTTGGTGGATGGTATGGCTTTATTCTATAAATGGGGTGCGTGGTAATTATTTAACGAACCTTGCTGGTCAAGGAAAGGAAACACGTGAAACAACAAATGGGAAAACAAATCTTGCGTATATTTTTGCTCGAAAATATTATAAGATCCGAAAAAGTAAAACCAAAAGATCGTAAGAATTGATTCAAAGTTACATGTACACGAAGAATAATTGATAAGAGAGAAAAGTGTTTCAAATTGTGTATTATATATATACACATTTAAAATAAACTAGATGCAAATTAGTCGAGCGTTCGAAAACACAGTTGTACCTCTCTATACCTCGAGAATAGAACGGATTAATTATTTCCGTTGAAACGATTCATTCGGTAAACTGACATCCCTCCAAACATCGTTCGATGCGTGTCCGCACCCTCGTTTATTAATTACGATGACTGGTCGCCGCGCGGGGACGCCGTTAACTTCGTCAACGATCGTCAACGAGGGCCTCCATGGAGTGGCGTGCACGAGGAAGGGGAAAATTCGTAAACTTACCGGAGTTATTGGCGAATTTCTGCCTGAGGGAACTGGCGAGGCGTTGGGGACCCGCCAAACTAGGAAGTCCGGCGAACAAACTGCTCAGTTTGGAGGCGACGTCCGGTCCGACCTCGGCCCTCGAGCCGTTCACCGACTCCTTAGCTTCTTGCGTCCCCGGGCCCTCCACCTTTTCAGCCGAATTTCTAACCGAGCCTGAAACAAATTTCCTTCGTCGTGGATAATTATTCGAGAGGGGAGCCTAATATTAACAACCCTGTCTGAATAATAATACGAATTGTGGAATTGTGATGCATCAATTATGCATCCCAATGAAAGCTTCTTTTTTATAATTTGGAAATTGTTTGGAACAATACGTGATGGAATTATATGAATTAATTTCAACAATCGAAGCAGCGAAGTATTTTTTGAGGAGTCGAAAAAAAAAGAATTTCGATCGAACTCGTGTCCTCTGTTGGCTTAATTATTATAAGGATATGCTAATTCTAGGACACATTTATTAGTTTTGCATTTATCCAAAAAATAATATTTCTTTTATTCTTCGTTTTCAACACAGGAGGAATTTATTTAAAAAGTATTTTTAAAAGATTTAATTAAGATTAAATTATTTTTAAAAATTTTATTTGTAAAAGAGGAAAGTATTTAAAGAGGAAGCATATAAAAGTTTTCCTTCCTTAGTAAATTTCAAAGAAAAAATTGCAAAATCGAGTGATTTTAACAGTAGAATAGTATCACGAAATTGGAAACGCGTACGATTAAAAATGATAATCACGAATACGGGGAAAGAAAAGAAAAGAAAAAAGAAGGAAAAGGAAAAGTAATTTCCAGGGAAGTAATCAAAAAGTTGTCGGTCTTTAGCGTGTTCCACCTATAGCGTGCAGGCAATAATTTTGTCCATCTCTTCTACGAAACCGACACAATTTTTCCTAACCTATCTATTATCTTATATACGCGTCCAACTCCCTGACCAATCTATATTTAGAGTTTAAACATCTATCTATAACAGTCCCTATCCTCTATACATATACCTCACGTCCCAAGAAGAATGCACATGTGCCCGACTTCCCAAGGTAATTTCCCATCATTTGCCATTGTAGCAATATCATTATTTTCAACAGTATCGTTCGGTGATCTTATATTATTATTCACCGTCCACCGTCCGTTTAACGTTCAAACAAAACAGCCGTTTTTCGATCAATTTTCAACAACGATTTCGAATTTATTCCTTTTTTTCTCTCTAGAATTCTATATTTCGAATAATACATAACACCTTCCACGATATATTACATAATATCTCTCGTTCCAACCGACGTAAAAGTCCTCGAATATACTATATATATATACTACATATATATATATACTCTCCAAATACACTGCAGTTCATCATCACCTCGAAACAAAAGTTCGAATAATCCAACTAAATAAATAATCCAATTAAAAAAAAAAAAAACACGAATACTTATTCACGAATACTTGCAAACGATCTCATCTTACGTGTATTTCCCTCGTCCCTCCCCTCCCTCCTCCCCCCCTTTTACAGAAACCCGGCCGGTGACGTGAACGAACATCATCGACATCACCACGAAACCATCGTCATTCGTCCTCGAATGCGGCGAGGATAAGATTGGTCGTCGTCAAAAAAGAAGAAAAAGAAGAAGAAGAAGAAGAAGAAGAAGAAGAAGTCAGAGATGATGACTCTTACTTACTGAGACCGAAGGGCTCCCGATGGCAGGGGCGTCTCGGCGTGTCTCTCCGTTGGGGTAGCTTTGGAACGTCTGCCCTCAAAGTTCTCCCCGCCACCGGCTTTCGCGTTAC